ATCCCCTGCTGATGGAGACCGAGAGCCTGGCCAGCATTGCTTTGTGGTTATAAGACCATAAGATTATGCTTTATACTTCACTACTGATGTTGCTTTGTCAGTTAATCAATAAACTTCTCACACTGGTTGGAATGACCCAAGGGTCTATTTGAATTTTTCATCCGTCCACCTCATTTAAAGCTTGTTAAGAAGTGCAACCCTTCTAGGAACCGGCTTGTTTGCTTCTTTTCTGGCATCCTTTGGCATGCATCTGCAGGAAGATAATATATGCAATCCTCGATACCAACCATCCATGGCAGTATGGAGGCTTTTTTTTGGATCTTCTACTCAAGTTCAAGAGAGATTCGTGCTCTTATCTCTGGAAGTTTTGGTTTCAGTGTCTGGCCATGAGCCATAGAAAAACTCTTTCCCATTTTCCCCATAAAATATGTTAAAGCAGAAAAATTAAAAGGGGCAAGAAGGTGACAAAAAGAGGAGACTAAGAGGTAAGATGGATTTCATAGCTCTTTTAAGGTCTAACAGATCTTTTCTATCCCTTAGTCTTTTTTACCTCAGTGAGACTTCTCTCAGATTTGAATCTTCAGAAGCTGACCTCATTATCTCACATGGCAAATAGCCCAATCCCATCTGTACCCTCATCTCCCTGGCCCTTTGAGAGTATCTGAACTGGCCTGGCTTATCTCTGAGAGCTAGGTGATACCCTTGAATGATGCCAGGTGATCAATGGTCTTGAGGAATGTAAGAAAAACAGGAATTCTGCTGGAGGATCGATATCTGCATTCCTTCGAAGGATTGCATTCCCTCCTAGGTTAAGATTGATGGAGTGATTAGCATAATTAAGTCTGTGGACCCTGGAGCTTTCCTTTGCAAAGCAGCAATTACTAATGGTTTTTCATTCCTGCCTGTGCCTTCTCCGAGACATCTATTTTGCATCAAATGGAAAGGTAATTTTTAACCCCAGAACAGGTTGGCTTAGATTAAGCATCCCATATCTTTGTCTCTGGACATTGCATAGGCTCATAGGAACTAGAAGTGGAAAAGGACTAATTAATCATCATCTGGTCTATAGCTCAGCCAGCCCAGAATTGCTGGTGCCAGTACATCCCCCAGTGTCTTGTCCAGAGTAGTTTTTAGTGATCCAGTGCGATTACCTTTCTACAATTTTCCATGGGACACTGTCCTGTGGCCTCACCATAGCATAGGGGATTTTTTTTCTTTTTGTTTTGTTATCCGCTCCTCTCCTGGTCTTTTAGAAGAACTGCAAACAAGGAATAAAGCCACTGATTCTTGAACTCCTTGCAGGCATCTAAAGAAACGGAAGCCAATCTTCTAGGCTTGGGACAGACATTACACACAAACCAATTTAAGTGATCAGGAACTGGTTTAAACCTGTAACAGAACAGATGTTTGTTGCACAAAAAACAGTTTGAAAATGAATGAAACCAGTTTGAGATCAACCTGGTTGAATGTAGCATCAGACTTTACTGATTTGAGTCAAACCAGTTTATGCAATGCCTATCCCAGACCCTTATGCTTACCTCTTGTATACATGTTAAATTGGGATGCCTTTTCCCAGCCACCATAATGGACCAGACACACTAGTACTGCATCCAAGGTCCTTGTATAGTCCCTATTACTGAGAAATCCTTGCAACTCGTAACCTTTATGTATCCTCACAGCACCCCCGTTTGGTAGAGAAGTGTCCTTCCTGCACAATTTACTGATGGGAAACTGAGACAGAGAGAAGCTAAATGACTTGATCAAAGTCAGGAGGCAAGAATTGTTGTAGGCGATCTCTTTATTGGACCAACTGTGTGATCGGGATGAAGTTAGACAAACTTTCAGATGAAAACTTTCATCAGCCTTAGGGAAGAACCAGGCACAGCAATAATTCAAAATAGTGGGTAAGGCTGTGAAATTGGAAAGGGGAGAAATTCCCAGGGGGGGCAGGCAAACAATTAGCAGAAGCAGCTTGATTGATGGGAGATCAAGACCTATCAAAAGGGAGGAGGGCTATTATCACCTGTAGCATGGAGGAAGAACGTCAGGGATCAGGTCGATTTTAGTGTGCATTAAAATCTAAAGCGGTGTTCAGTCCTTGGTTGGGTGTCAACCAGCCTTCCTACTCGTTTAAGAATTACCAATGGCTGCCTTTATTCTGGATGAATGGAAATGGATCCAGTTTATAAATAATATCCCCACCCATCAGAGGGAGGGAACGGGAAATGGGTGCTGCATATTTTAACCTGAGCATCATGCACTGAACCTTCTGCTGAAATCCTCACCTCCCTGTCTAAATATTCACTGTTCAGATGCACTGGCCTCCAAAATCTGTGTTGAAAAAGCCTAACCTGAGGTTAATAGCTCTTTTATGAGTCAGCCAGCATTACAGGCCAATAGTTGGCCGTTTCATTATTTATTCTGATGTATAATATATTTGACTAAGCTTATTCATAGATCTAAAATGCAAAGACCAGAACCAGGAGGGAAAGAGGGAAAGGAAGCCAAGTAATTTCTGTGGCTTGCAAGACCTGATACATGATGGGATTTAATCAAGCCCTAATCATCTCGAATCTGAGGGTTATAAAAGGTGGTGAATGCTCCTTATAGATCTGTAACGTGAAGTCAAATGGTTTATCCATGTATCATTAAAGGAGAGGAGACTGGAGGCTGATTGCTGGGAATTACAGAAGCAGTGGAGGTCAATACTGCTTTCATTCCTAACTTGTATTGATGGCAACACTCCTGGGTTGTTATGGGTCATTGTAATCAGAGTTCCAGGCTAGACAAAATGGACACCATGAAAAGAACAAAAAGGAGTAGGAAGAGGTGAAAAATGGAGCAGACGATCACCAGAATTGGGGGCAAAGTAGGGAGAGACTAGAGTAGGTGACTGGAGGGAAGAGATAAAAGAGAGGATAATAGAGGAAATGCAAGAATGACAACACTACCGTCAGCAGGCCTGATTTCTTTCAGAGATCTGGCTGCTTTATGGCATCCAGGGAGGTGGAAAAGTTGTTGGATTGTGTCCACAAATTGGCAGATGAGAATATCTTTTGCCATATTCCTTGGAGCTGGGTGAGAACCAGATTTCTTCTCTTTGCTTATTTGTTTCATAAGAAAAGTCTTCATCTAACTTTTCCCTCTGTTCTGAAATGGAACCAAAAAAATAAAAAAGATGATTTTTCCCATGAATTGAATTAAAAAAAAATTAGGGTTGGACAAAACACTTGTTTTTTTAAAAATGTCATTCTGATTTTAACTTTTTCAAATTAAAAAATGAAGCAATTCCCCCCCTCCCCCCCAAATGAGAAATTAACACATCCTGATCTGGGGACATTTTTTCTTTGAAACAAAATTTTGTGAAAACAGATGCACTTCTGCACAAGTTTTCATTTTTGAGAAAGCAGAATTTTCCAACAACCAATGATTTCTTGAGAATTGCACCGTAATCCCTTGTTGCTCTGGGATGTGTTTCATCTGAAGTCACAGTGGTATAATTTAGTACTAGCCACCCCGAGCCACATTCAGAACGGGGCACGTGTTAATCAGAAGCATGATTCCTAACTAGCTTCCTGGTGCCCCAGCGCCTAGGCAGAGTTATAGACAGAACCAAACCCAAATCTATACCCCTTTTTATACAGAGAGGAGACCCTCTATAATATTATCGGGGGAGACAATTTGCAAATGATATCACCCTTGAGGGGAAAAAAAGCAAGGCCCATATTCTCAGCCAGTGTAACCCCATTGTAGTGACTGGAGCTACAGAGTTTTCTCAGGAACAACTCTCTGCTATCATTCATCAAACCCTTCACTTCCAAGCTCTCTAGCATGCAGGTGCTGTCTTTTCATTATACATCTGTGCTGTACCTTGGTAACATGGGACCCCAGCCTGGTATGTGGCTTCTGGCAAATGGGCACACTAGAAATAATCAATAATTCTAATAATAAGAGGAGGAAAATGAGCTTGGTCTGTCACTAGTTTTCGGTTGATAAATATTTGTGTGGAATAATTTGTAGCAACTCCCTTCTTCCCTTTCCTATGAACCTTGGCTCGGTTCTGGACCAGCCCCCAAACAGGAATTTGTTGTTAATGCTTCTAAACCGTCTGGTCACGTTCCAAGGTGTTAAATGAGAATTAATGCCTGAAAGTAGTTTTAAGCACTTGTTATGTAGCTCAAAGTGATGCCACTCCAGGGCAGAATTGTTTCTGATCCGTGTTACACAGAGGTGTAACTCCTCTAGGCTACACCTCCGTGTAAACACCCTGCCCATCCCCACCCCCCCTGCTGGCTCTGATTGGGTGCACTGCCCCCCTTTCTGTCCCCAGCACCCCACATTCCCACTTACTGCCCTCACCTGCCCCTCTGACTTGTGCTGCCTGTCCTGGGGGAGCAGACAGAGAAGGGTTAACTTACCTACCGGCTGCTGCTGCTGCTGGCTGGGTGGGCGGGAGAAGAGCAGCAGCCTGGCAACAGTGGCTGGGCAGACAGGTTAACCCTTCCATGACTGCTCCCCTGGGACAGACAGTTGCAAGTAAGTGACTGGGAGCTGAGGGGCAGAAGGGAAGCCTACAATGGCAGGGGGAGGGCGAATCTTACCTTCCAGTCCCACAGGTGCCAGCTGGCCTAAACTCACGACTGCTCCAAACTCGAGCTAGCACTAACACTGATCCACATTTGTGCAGCTCACAGCATCAAGTGTAACAAGGTCCTAAACTATATTAACGCATAGCGTTTTAAGACCAAAATGGACCATTTGCCAGGACCAGGATGGCCAATCTCAGACCAAGTCTACTACAGTAGAGCCTGATCTTCCAGCATAACAAGTAGAATTTCACCAAGTTATAGCTGGAATGAGGCTCGATTGTGAGGTGCTAACACAGCCTGGTGAGGAGGGCTGGAGAAAGAACGGCTGGCTATGCAGAGCTTTGCCTCTGTGGGGTTTCAAAGTGCTTTGTAGAAGTGGACTGCATTGTTTTCCATATCCTCATTTTACAGTCTGGGAAGCTAAGACACTTGAGAGGTTAAGCAACTTGCTGAGTTCATCCAAAGAAGCCCGCGACAGATTTGGCAATTAGAATCGAGATGAAAAAGAACTGCAAGTAAACATCATTTTCCTTATGGGCACTAAATGACTTCCTTGCCCGTTTTTCTTCCTTTATTCCTTCCTTTCACGTTAACGTTTATTTAATCGATGCTGTTACATAGCAATACGAGTATCAATGAAGCCCAACTAATCCCTCGCCCATCTGTCTGCAATGCATAAATCCTGCTCTCTAACCAGAAAGGAAAGCAGCTCTCTGGGGTTCGTGTAATGTCGTCTGCTGTGGCACTGCAAATGTGAAGGCTGCATGTGGCGTCCAATCCCAGTTCTGGTCTATGCAGGGGTACTTAGTAAAGTGAACATGAATTAACTACAGGTAGACAATTAAATCACATTAAACCCCTGTATGGATGCTCCAGTTCATTAGCAAATTTGCATTCATTCCCTGTAACTTTATCAGGGACTCGGTCTAGATACCACTGTACATACTGACAGAGGTAGAATTCTGTTCCCTATAGTCATCCAGGGCTGATTTATATCTGTCCACAGCAAATGAAAAACACACCTGAATTCGAAGGAGTACCACGAGTGCTGGAAGAATCTCGGACACTGGAGGTTTTTGAGTGCAGGTTGGATGGGCATTTGGGATGTTTCAGATAGGGCTATTCCTTCTTTGTGATGGGTGGGCTGGCACTAGATGATCTCCTAAGGTTCTTTCCAACCCTATCATTTTATGACCAGGATAGTAGCTAGAGGCAGATAATTGATGGATCTATAGGAGACCAATTGTCCCAGCACCCAGAACAGGAAGGGCTCAAGGGGCTCTCCCCCAGTGCTGAGAACCATCCTTAATCCAATAATATATACCTTCTTCTAGTCACACACACTACCAAGTGTCCTCATCAGTTTTCATGCTATGTCACACAGGGGACCCTGAAACGTGGTGGAGGAATGGGGAATGAAGCAATCACCAGGTTCAATAAATACAGGAATATATGAAAGAGAAGAACAACACTCTTGAGTTTGTGGAGCAGTACACAATGTTGGCAGGCCCGTGGTCTTCCTCTCATTAACTGACCCCTAACTGGCTGCTCCCTGAGGGACCACCTCCCAATTCCCAACTCTCTCAGTCTCCTGTTAGGGAGCATCTATAAATGATCACTTCTGTTGCTACAGAGAAGGAGGCATAACACAGGCCTACATGTTACTTGCATAGATGGTTTTAAATTCTGATGGGGGTGATATCCAGAATACCTATCCCCAGCCCCCTCAGTTCATCTACATTGGTGTTTCCTTTGGAGGGAAGCCAGAAGTGATGTGTCTACACAAGACACGACATTGCTGTAACAATAGGCTACGATGATGTAGCAAAGTCAGGCACAAACTATGATGCCACAGCTACATCGCTGTAGCAACATGCTCCACTCATTATAGCGCATTGCTACAGCAACATAGCAGCTAAAAACAACTGAGTGCTGCCGACACGGTGCAGTAATGACTGTTACTGCACCATCATTTAGTACTTCCAGTAACAACGGTGCCATAGGGCCATGTGTAGACACACCCAGTTTCACCAAGACTGGAGATGTGAGGCGTGCATACAGCGTGAAGGGACATGCTAGGGAGCACTATGGCGAAGCACAGATTCCTGCTCTTAGTGCCCGATACCACAGCCAAAGTCACCATCTTGGGCATGTTTATTGGCATGCATCCAGTGCTGTACCAAGATGGCTACCTGACCTCCATTTTAGGACCTGCCACACGTGGAGTGCATGTCTTATGCGTCAGGGCTCAGTCTACACCCTATGCTCAACACAGATCAGGGTCCAAATGTCCTCGAACTCTCAGGACGTTGGGAGCAATTGCTCAGATTCCTCCCCTCAATTTTCTATTTGTGCCGGCTGGTCAGGGTAACATTTTGCACCTACGCTGGATTGGTGTCAAGAACCACGCATTAACAGGCAGCAGCGTATCTGACCCACTGAATCATCAGCTTGCAGAATCGCAGTCCCTTGGGGCAGTTGAAGCTGGGCAGATATCTCATGTCTGCGTTATCCTTGACACTAGTATCCAATCTCTTGCTTTTTGTGAGCGGCAAACAAACTCCTCACACAGAGAGATAAACTTCTTTATTGTCAGTGTTGTCAAACACATCTGAAAAGGCCAAGCTCAGGCAATGATTTCAATCTGAATGAAAGCAGAAATGCAGCTGATGATAAGCCTGCGTGCCATCTGATTTCCAGATCTGATACCCACCTGGCAGCACATCAGCAGTATTTTCAGATAGTGTCTTTCTAAGCACACTGCAGTGCCTTTTAGCAAATACATTTTGCCGACGCAAATTTATCTGCAAAGCATGGCTTGCTGAGAACAGGGAATGGAAACAGCTTGTAACTGTTTAGAACAACCGAGTAGGCATGGGGGAAAGAAATGACCAAGCTGTTTTTAAATGGTGTTGGTAGAGTTAAAGATATGATCTAGTCGACCAGAGATAGGCTTCCCTGCCGGCAGAACTGAGCTGCCACAGGTAGGCGACTGCCTTCCTATAACAGTTATTAGGCTAGATTCTGCTCTGGTGTGAGTATGTGAAGTTGCTGAAACTTTATATCATTGGGAGTGAAATCAGAACTGCCATACAACGTACACTTTATCTCATGGGTGCAATGTATGCATTTTGTGTTCCCTGCTGCATATGATGAGCAAATTTACGCTGAGAAAAAGCAGGCAACCTAATCCCACTGCGTTTCGGTGGGAGCTGAGAATCTAACTGATTTTTTTCTCTTTTTGTAGACATCTAGCACAAAGAGGACCATTATTGTCATCTAATCTCACTTCCTGCATAACTCAAGCCCACAGAATTTCACCCAATGACTCCTCCACGCATCTCATGCCTTGGGGTTGAGTGAAAACGCCTCTTTTTTGGACGCCACCTGGTCTTGATTTAAAGACTTGAAAGGGTTGGAGAATCCACTGAATTCTTCATTAATAGGTCCAATAGTTGATCCTTCTACACACTAAGCCTTGGTGCCTGATTTCCAGTTCACATTTGGTTAGCTCTGGCTTCTGGCCCTCTGGTCCTATTGTGACTTTGTTCTAATGGATAGAAAAGCCTTTTGCTACTTGAAATGTCCCCCACTTGCAGAATCCTATATATAAAATCCCATAATACCATATTTACTGAAATCCAAGACCAGGATTTCCACCCATTCAACATAGGGTGGGGAAGCCCCTCACCTTAGATTCAAGTACAAGGCTGGGGGGCAGATGGCTGCTGTGGCTCCAGCCCTGACCTGAAGTCAGAGTTGGAGCCCGAGATGCTGCCCTCCTGCCCTGCTGCTTTGCCCCATGCCCCACTGCCTGCCTCTGTTCCCCTGGCTGCCACAGCTGCCTCTGCTCCGAGCTGCAAAGTAGTATTAACAGGAGTCTTCGGAATGGGGTTTCTGCTCCCGTGGCACAACACCCATTTCACTTAGTTGTCGCTTGTTCAAACATAATCTGCTAGTTCTGCATTAGTGCTGCCTGTTAGAGGCTAGGCTATGGAGAGGGACACATTAGAAACCCTAGTTAGCTCGGATAGAAAATACCTAGTTGGATCTGCTGGATCGGGATTCTGGGCAGGATCTCAGTAGAATATATGTGGTTTGCCTGCCATGCACAGATCCATTACACACCAGGAACCTGCTCTCCTCCAGCTAAGTTCTTTGAGTAGAAGCTCTCCTAGACAAAAAATGAGTGGCTGAGAAAGTCAGTACTGTAATGTGGTAAATATCTTCCTTTTTGAGTGACCTTCTGAAGGTCATGCCATCTTTCCCCCACTTCTGCCAGCCAAGAGCAATAATATAAATGCTTAAAAATATTTAAGCACTAATGAATGAAGCATTACGTGGTTGGCCAGACAAGTCAAAGCACTGCCAAGTCTCAATTGCTTAATGGAAGTAGTTCTTCTAAAGGACGGGAAGAGAGGATGTGTTGCATGTGTTTGGGCATGCCTTAGAGCAGTCATTTGGGTCATGTGGCAAGGTTTGTCTTATAGCAAATATGGATTTTCAAAACCAGATCTATAAATATGCTTTACTATTCCATCAGCTTCTTAGCTGTGAACAAGAGTTTCCATTTCAGTGTTATTTCCCTGCAGGAGTTCTGCCCCAATGCAACGAGACATGAATATCCCCCTTCGAATTGATGACCAAGGCCTCCTATATGTATGGATGTGCTTCCTTTTGAGCACAAGAGAATTCCTATTGGAATCAGTTGGCTTATTCTGTACATCTGCTCCAGTTAAGCACAGGAAGGCATATTCCAAAGTGGCTTTAAATGTAATTAAAGTTTATAAACGTCTACTTTTAGAATAAAGATTCCCCTTTTCCAATACACCTCATCCAAACACCTTTCAAGATCTCTAGAAATTCATCTCCAAATGGGAATGTCACAGGTGGCCACTACCTTTAGAAGCACACAGATCTAAATATACCTTTAACGCAAAAGCTTTCCTCCAAGTTTCATCCTTCCAAACTTCATGACCAGCCTCTAATCCTTAATTAAAAGAACTGCCATCTCCCGTCACAGTCTACATTGATGGAGTATCATGAGTGCGCCTTCCTATTTAATCATTAATCAGATCTTTTAAAAAACAAATGTAGGACACACGTTAAAAATACTTGGAGTGATTTAGTTGACTCAGTTAATGAGATGTCACTACTGGGAAATATTTCATGCCCTGATGCAGTGTCCCTTTATATCAGACTGGCTGCTTCGTCTTTGGTGTCGACAAGGAGGGTGAGCTCATTCCTCAGAGTGATTTGCAGCTGAAACTGCTCCTTTCAGTAGAGCACCCCCATTTTTCTTGATGCCTCCCTCTGCTATCTATAGCAGTATGGCCAAGGGAAAGCACCATTTAACTTGTTGCACTGCTCACCTCGTGGAAGGACATCAATAACACTCCAACACCGAAATGAGTTTTCTGCAAACTCGCAGAGCTCTGTGATAACAAATGGGGAGTTACGAAAAATGTTCATCCACTGATACCATGCAATCCACCATGCTTTCATCCCTGATAGGCTACAGCTCTGGGGGGAGGGAAGGGGAGGAGTGGCTTGAGGTAGGCAACAGTGACAAAATATACCATATGTATGATATACCCCATGTTTCCCTTTCTCTGTGGGCCCCTTCCCTATACCCCCCCTGCTTTGCATGTCCCTTCCCTGTGCTTTTCCCCTATAGTCTCCTCATTCCATGCTCCCCTTCCCCCATGCCCTTGCCCTATGTTCCCTTTGCTCTATGAATCCTTCCCCTCATACTCTCCATTTACCATACACCACTTCCCCATGCTCCCCCATGCACTCTTCTCTTCCTTACCCCATGCCCCGCCTCCCCTCTGCTCCACACACCCACTACCTCCTACATGTGCCACCATGGCCCTATCCAGAGCCACAGAAGCAGCTTGCTTGGGCTGTACTCAAATCTAAGATGAGAGTTATCCCCCCCCCCCATGCTGATTGAAAACTCGACTCCCTCGTCCTAGATTTGAGTAAATATGGTACTGTGGTACAAATAGTAGAGGAACACGGGTGCATTGCATTTGGTGGTACACAATAGCTGGTTGTATACAGAATCACTGGAATTTATTCAGTGCTATAGGTTGGCAAGTGGTGTTAGAGACAAATGAAATAGTGTCCCTTTCCTGAAAGGCTTAACTTGTGGCCACGGTGTAGAGAAATATGACTATGTGCTTGGAGAATAATGAGTGTTTGATTCTTGGAAATAGAGGAATAAGCATTTGCCAGTTGATTTAAATGCAACAAGTGCTTTCGCTCAGCAGCTGTATCTACTCAAAAAAGGCTATGTACGATCTAGCCAAGATTAGGGGGGATGAAGCTTGCTAAATTGGTACAAATTACACCTGGATAGGTGTGCCTTTCCCCTATTTATTATTTTTTTGTCTTGTCTTCCCATTTCTTATTTTGTGACCACATTTTCACCCTTATATGCCTCTTTGTCAGCTTACTCCATTCATAGAATCATAAAAATATAGAGCCAAAAGGAACTTCAAGAGGTCATCTAGTCCAACCCGCTACTCAAGGCCTCAATGTCTTTTTCTTCACAGCTCCTTACATATGGGTACCGCCTTGCCAAGTCCATCAGCGAAACACCCTCCCCTTCAGACCCACTTCCTCCATAGCACATGTACAGCCTCACTGCTTTGGTTTTGACTCCTAGAATCAAAATCACATGGGTTGGTTCAGATTCGAGACTTCCAATCTAAACTATAAGCTCTCACTCCTAAAAACTAAGACTTTTTTTTTTTATGGTGCAAGTCAGGTAAAGAATGATCTAGCCATGAGTTTGCAAAGCTGAAATCACCTTGTCTTTTCTGGTAATTTTTATAATTGTGTTCAGTCAGGGAAAGAAAATACAGATAATTTACCAGCTGGATGAAGATGTATGTGTGTGTTTGGGGGGAAATAGTGGGTGGGGGAATCATCTCTGTGGAATAGATTGTCTGGATGTCTGAAAAGATGAAGAATGTGAGGGAAACTAATGCAATAGAGGTGGTTTGTTGGGTGGTTGGTTGGGGGTCTCGAAGAATATCTGCACTGGGGAACAAAGATGATTGGATACACCTTGTCCTTGTTCTGAGCCAAGCCTGTCTCTCCTTAAGAGTTTGTTTTTCCTCCAATCTTCTTCTCTCACAAGCAATTTATGTTGTGTTTGAGGGGAGGTGCGGGTATATGCAAAACACATCTATGACCTTAGTATAGCAACTATGGAACTGGGGTATTTCCAAGGAGGCAAAATGGCTGCAATGAAAGCCACAACAGCACCAGGCCGACCTCATGGTGACAGCATCCAGCCAGTAATCATGCAAGGGGAGGCAGCCCCACTGTCCTCAGCTCCAGCCCTGCTTCACTTACCCAGTGATACAGATCAAATGAGATGTTTCAGAAAGTTGCTAATACTATGGGGCATTTGCAATTTTGCAGGGCATTTTGATTTGCCAACAGAAGATCAGCGCATGGATTAGCATCTCTTGCATCCCATTAACTGCCTGAATGAGATACGCATGCCAGATTCAGCTGGCCACCAGGGGCCACCTCTCCTGGCCTTGGCTCAGCTGTCCTAGATAATCACTTCAGACAGGTTCAGAAGCCAAAAACAGGTTTTATGGCAGAGCTCAAGTGCCTGTAAAAAGTCTGTGTGATGATTTAAATTCCACAGGCACTGGATAAATCAAGAAGCCTGTAGACCCCCAGGCTCTTGTTCTCCACCAGGAGTCTCATTTCCCTCTCTCCTCCACCTCTTCCCCTCTCTCAAGGGGTGAGGCCTTTCCCCAATAAACAGCCCTTCTGTACCACCCTGTCTTTCTGTACACCGAGTAGTTACAAAACCCATTGGTCTTTACCCCATTCCCAGCTCCTACTTGGCATGCCTCTACACCTATCCTTCCTCCATCTCCACCTTGCTTCCCACTTAAATGAAGGGGTTAGGGGATAGTGCTGAAAGGCCGCTCAGCAGTGTAGTCCCAGGTTGGGAAAAGCAGAGGCAAACCAGGACTAGCTCTTCCTAATATCCCCAATATGCTTCCAGCCCCCTGTAGGTAGAAACTTTCCATCCTGTTGAGGACAATTTATCCAAGCATCACAGGCAGGTTTGGGCTGAAAAGGTTGAATTTCAGTCTGAAAAAAAAATCCCTTTCAAGTCTTTGGTGGTCGAAATTCAGTATTAACCTCTATCAAAGCACGTGGTGGTGTCTTGCCTGGTGTCTCTGAGGTTTGTAGAGATTAAGATAACCCTTTACTCCCCTTGTAAGGACAGATGTACCTTATGACTGCCTGAATAGTATTACCAGTGGGACTGGAAAAGTGCTCACAGATTCATTCAGAATCACCATATCTAGAGAAAATAAGTGGCATTTCCTTGCAACA